ACTGCTCAAAGGTGACCCTGTCAGAATGGCTAAAATAAAAGCACCAATGACAGTTTATGCTGGAGAGGATGTGGAGAAAGGGGAACATTCCTCCACTGCTGGTGGGAGTGCAAACTCTCACAGCCACTTTGGAAATCAGTATGGTGGTTCCTCAGGAAAATGGCAATCCACAAAATCCAGCAATTCCACTCTTAAGCATATACCTAAAAGATACACATTCATACAATAGGGCATCTGTTCAACCATGTTCATAACAACCTTATTTGTAATAGCCAGAACATGGAAGCAACCTAGATGCCCCTGACTGAAAAATGGATGGAGAAAATGTGGTACATTTACACAATGGAGTAGTACTCAATGAAAAAAACAACACAATGGTATCTTGAAATTCACAGGCAAATTGATGGAACTAGAATAAAGCATCCTGAGTGAGGTAACCTATTCACAAAAACAAACATGGTATGTACTTACTCATATATGGATATTAGATATAGAGCAAAGGATTACAGCCTACAACCCATACTTCCAAAGAAGCTAGGAAGCAAGGAGGACCCAAAGAGAGATATACATGGTCCCCAGGAGTAAGGGAAAGGGACAAGATCTGAGCAAATTGGAAGCATGGGAAAGGGGAGAGGGGCTGGGAGAAAGAGAAAGGGAGAAAAGGAGGGGTAGGAAGAAATGATGGAGCAGGAAGATCTAGTCAGGGGGAGAATTAGAGGAGAGCAAGAAAAGAGATACCATAATAGAGGGAGCCAGTATAGTTCAAAGAGAAATCTGGCACTAGGGAAATGTCCAGAGATACACAAGTATAACCCCAACTTAGTTTCTAAGCAATACTGAAGAGGCTACCTTAAATGCCCTTCCTCTATGATGAGATTGATGCCTACCTCGTATGCCATCCTAGATACTCTATCCAGTAGCTGATGGAAGCAGAAGCAGAGACTCACACATAATCAATGAGCCAAATTCCTGGATCCCAGTTGTAGAGAGGGAGGGGTGATGAACAAAGTGGTCAAGATGGGGCTAGTAAAACCCACAGAAACAGCTGACCTGAATAAGAGGGAACTCAGGGACCCCAGACTGATAGCTGGGAAACCAGCATAGGACAGAATTAGGTCCCCTGAATGTGGGTGTCAGGAGACATGGATAGCCTACGGATCCTCTGGAAGTGGAACGTATTTATCTCTATTGTACGAATGGACATTGGGAGCCCATTTCCCCATAGAGAGTTACTCTCTCAACCTAGACACATGAGGGAGGGCCTAGGCCCTGCCCCAATTGATATGACAGACATTGATGATCTCCCATGAAAGGCCTGACCCTTTCTCTAGAGCAGAAGAAGGATGGGATGGAGATTGATATGGGGCATGGGTGAATGGGAGCGATACTGAACTGGGAATGCTATATAAAATAAGATTGTTTCTAATTTAAATTAAAAAATTAGCAAACAAAAAACAAAGATGCTCATCAGAATGTAGAACCCTTAAGGTCACCAGGACCAGAGGACTGAAGATGTAGTTTACCTTCGGCATTTCTTCCTCAACTCCCATGATCACCTATCTGACTATAGGTTCTATCTAATCCTTCCACACTACATCAGCTGTGCTCACACTGAGATCTTAAAAGTTAAAAAACAGTAAAGATAATCACTAAATATCACATCCTAAGTTGAAAATACATATAAAGATTATAAACCAGAAACTCTGACCTCATCCTTAAAGGGAAAATATAGCTGGGAAGTTAATATGAGATAAAGTAGTTACAAAGGGTATATTAATTACATGTATACATTTAAATCTTGCAGATATATTTTATATTAAATTATGAAGAGTATATTGCAATTAAATATAAGCTGGGCACTAGAGTTTATCATCAGAAACGTTAAATGTGTGGACTGATAGGGGAAAGGCTGAAACTCAAGTGTCTATGACTTAGATACTTGTAAATGGGGCATAACAACAAATAAATCAAAGAAAAACTAGTTGGAATAAATTGGAAAATGCAAAACTATATATGAGTAAAAGAGGGATCAAACTGAAAGGGTTTGGGTTTAACAATGGGAAGTAAGGAAAATTGATGGGCAATTTTCCTACAGCGATAGTTGTAAACCTTCATATTGTGGTGATTCCTAACCATAAAATTATTTTTATTGCTACTTAATTACTGTAATTTTGGCATTGCTATGAGTTGTAACGCAAATATTTTTGGAGACAGTTTTGCCAAAAGAGTCTCAATCCATGGTTTGAGAACCAGTGCTGTGATCTATTACTTTTAATCTGTCAAATTTAACCCTTTTAGCTACTAATATTGAAAAGTGTGTCAGAATGGCTGAGTGGATGAACGTTCATGCTCTCAAGTCTTCCTACCTGAGTTTGAGTCTGTAGGACCTATGTTGGGGGAAAGAGCAAATTGACTCCTGAGGTCATTCACAGACACACACACACACACACACACACACACACACACACACACACACGGAAGAAATAAGATGCTGGGCATTCATACATACAAATAAATAAATAGATGGTTACATGGTTAAAAATTAAAAATTAGGGGTGGAATTACTTAAACTTTTTATGAACAGCAATTGTGTGGGTGATTTTTAATGCAGTGTCTAACTTCAGGAAAACATATAAACCATGTAATTTTATTTATGAACATTATTTATATACACCCTCTATAAACAATGTTATCAATAATAATAAAAATGAACAGACACATCCTATTCAAAATTCAGGGTTGACTTTCCAAATCTGCTGCCTTTGAAGAGGGTAGTGGATCTATAATTAACATACAAATATGTTAACATAGCAGGCAAAATCTTCAAGACAATGCCATGGAACAATTTCAGTTCATATACAGTAAATCCGAGAGAGCTTGTGAAGTTGAAATTTTCAGTGAGTGATGGAGATACACATATCAAAGTTTTTCTGTTGAAAACTGTAGAAGCATCCAATGGCTAGCATGGGATGGCCACCACCATTAATATTCTCCTGCAGTAGGAACACAACACCAAGACTCTCAAGTTCACCTATCCAGGGTCACAAGTAATACTTTAGCCATTATTGTTAAGGTCATTATAGTTTGAAAAACAGGAAACTTAGAAATCATTACTTAGTAGCATTTCAGGATGGAATATAAATTTTCCTCAGCAATACCCCCTATTATCTTTATGGCTGAAATAGCTAAAAATAAACTTTGGAGTTCATTTTGACATTCTCAAAAAAGACATGAGTGGAAACAAATACAATATGATTTAACAAAATAACTTGTTACTTGCTATTGTAAAGGGTAATGTTTCTCTGACTTTTTTCAGCGCATTTATCTGTATATAGTGGGGGGGGATGGCCTGGGGGGTTGATGGGGAACATGGGAGGATGGTAGGGCGAGGGAATGTGGGGGATTGTTATGTAAATATGAGTACTAATTAAAGATTTTAAATAAAAAACAAAATAACTTAAATTTGTATCAACATACAAAAACTCTTTAAGGAAGATTAGAAACATATATACAGTATGTTGTAACAGAAATTAACTTAAATTTCTATTAATATACCAAATATTTTAGATGAATAATTGTTTTAAGTTATATTATATTCAATAATCACCCTTTTATCTTATCATTACTATATTTCCCTAAATATAACAAATATCCATGACCCACTAAATAATCAAAAGCCTCACACTCCCCAACAGTTGAGAATGTGGGAGTCATGTTCTGTAGACGCTTCCTGCTCTCTGTGGATGAAAGCATCCTTAAGGGGTCCTTGAGAAAATTTGAGATTATGGTCAAGTCCTGTGAAGACCATCAGTAGCTTTAATTGATATATATGGCCTGTCAAGTTCCAGAGGTCTCCCTTGCTCAAACCATATCTATATTAACCTGGAACAAATCTTATTTCCTGTGGAAACAAAAGCAAACCCAATCCTCCAAAGGATTTATAAGTCTCATTTGAGAAATATTTTTGACTTTTTTAAAGTTAAGGCATTCAGTATATAGACTCCTTTATTTCAACAGTCCGTCCTTTAATTCCATTTACATCTGGACCTATTTTAGGGTATATCTTTTAGCCTTTTTTGTCCAAAGCAAAGTTTAGACTGCTAAGCTACAACTGGATCTTCTGCATGTTCTCCCATCTGGCAGTGCCTGCTTCTGAGTTCATGTGAGCATAGCCAAAAACTCATAGCCCAGTTAGAGGTAGATCACCTAGAACTGTGTATAGTCTTCCTAGAGCTCTAGTATTCCCATGATTGTGCTGTGGCAGTCATTGTAACTGAGGTTATCATTACTAATTAGTGAAGTAGCTGTTCAAGCACTCACTAGTAGGCAAAACCTCATTAAGAAGATTAAATTTTTTCAGCTTTCTCAGGCCTTACATGGAAATATGGTCCCATGTTGGGGACCAAAGTGTTGCTTAATGTTTTCCTCCTTAATTCTTTAGTTTTTTACCTTTTGGGGAGGGCACTGCCCAGATCACAAATTGATACACAGACTAATGTTATTACTTATAAATATCTGACCTTTGCTTGGCTTATTTCTAGCCAATTTTTCTTAGCTTAAATGATCCCATCTACCTTTTGTGTCTGGACTTTTACCTTTCTCCATTTATGTATATTCTACTTTTCCTCTTCCTCATGACATGCTGTGTGGCTGGGTAGCTGGCCCCTAGCATTCTCCTCTTTTTCTTCTCTAGCTCCTTCCTCCATTCTTTCAGATTTATCCTTCTATGTATATTTTGTTCCTGCTACTACAGCCTATCCTTCCTCCTGCCTCACTATTGGATAATCACCTCTTTATCAGAGCATCAGGTGTTGTAGACAGGCCAAGAATCACAGTTTCACAAAGTTAAACTAATGTAGCATAAACAAAAGCAACACATATTCACATCATTAAACAAATTTTCCATAGCGTATAAGTAGCACATCATAATGTTCTACAGAAATATACATTTACAATATTGTATCATGCTTTCAGTTGCACATATTTATGTTATATTTTAGAATGTCATGACATATCATGATGTGCATATAGACTTCACTTGGGAAGAGTGGACTTTGCTGGATACTTCTCAGAAGAATCTCTACAAAGATGTGATGCTGGAGACCTACAAGAACCTCAATGATATAGGTAAGAGTATATTTTCCTTCATATTTTAAAATAATAGGACAACTGTTCCTTGGTTATTGATGCTCTTTTTTAATTTGACTGAGAGAGAAAAAGAATGTGGTAAATAGATCAATCAAAGATCTAAGGTTCACTGAAGATAGTAACTTAAATTTGACACATTTTTCAATAATATATACATAATATAATAAATGTAATATACATTTTCTGGTACTACATTTTAGGATTCAGTTGGGAAGACCATACTATTGAAGAAAACTGTCCAAGTTCTAAAAGATATGAAAGGTAATTTTTATGTATGAGCTGATAGAAATGTGCCTTGAAGAAATTGTAATGTGTCCTGGAAGTTTCAAACACAACCACCAGTGTAAAGAAGCACATCTTAAAGTGTATTGATAATTATTAAATTATTACAAAACCATATTCCTCAATTTCAGGTAAGTGAACTGCATTTTCAAGGCATTATTTTAAGAAATAAGGCAAGGAAACAATGCCTTGAGAGATATTACTACTTGAATCATCGCACCATGAGAGCTGTGCTCTAGAACTGTAAATTCCTTTATTTCATACTACCTATATTACTAAAGGTATACACATAGTTGAGGTGATACACATATTTCCAAACTTTCCATTAAGCAAATACTCCTTAGAAAAGCTGGTTTTACTCAAGTACTTGCTGTTACTTTTCTAAGTTTAGTGACAGGGGCAATCATTGTCAAGAGTCAAGAGAAACCATAATCTCTCTAGCACATGCCTATAAGGAACAGAAAGTCAAACTGAATTAGATGTGGAAGTCACTTCTATGTAATCTTTCCTTTACTAGTTGTATCATATATTAGTCAGGATACAAGCCATGTAAGCAAAGGAATATGGAAGACATAATATTCCTCTCTCACAGAATATTTAAAAGACATATAGTAGTTACCATTTGGAGCATAGTTATTGAATTTGATTCAAGTGTACAAGTAATTTGTTCTCTAGCTTCATTGATAATACACCAACAAGCTCACTCTGCAGAAAAGCCCTATGAGTCTAGGACAGTGTAAATTCTTCTGTTTGTTCTAGTTCAGTTAGTAAATGTAGTATGCCTCAAATTGTAGGAAAATTTAAAATTACAGTAAGAGTGATAAAGTTATGAATTTTCCCAGTTCTTTTCAATATGTGAAAAATATCCTGTGGGAAAATGTTCTGAAAATGAGAACCATGTAATAAAGGATTATACCTTCACTGGTATCTTAGAAGATGTAAAACAACCTTTAAAGAAGGGTAAAACATGAGTGTAAACATGGTAGTAAAACTGTAAGATCTTATTCCTCTTCAGAATTGAAACAAATTGTAATTTTAATTTATACAGATACAAGATTCAACATTGTATTGAGTATGGTAAAGCATTCACTGACAATTTTCCTTGGAGGCATGAAAGAAGGCAAACTGGAGAAAAGCCTTCTGTATATTCCCAATGTGTTAAAGCCTTTACATATAACAGTCATCATCAAAGGCATAAAAGAATACATACAGGAGAGAAACCCTATGAATGTAATCAGTGTGGTAAAGCCTTTGCATATCATAGTCATTTTCTAATGCATGAAAGAACACATACTGGGGAGAAACCCTATGAATGTAATCAGTGTGGTAAAGCCTTTGCATATCATAGTCATTTTCTAATGCATGAAAGAACACATACTGGGGAGAAACCCTATGAATGTAATCAGTGTGGTAAAGCCTTTGCTCAGCACGGTCATCTTCAAAGACATAAAAGAACACATACTGGAGAAAAACCCTATGAATGTAATCAGTGTGGTAAAGCCTTTGCTCAACATTCTAATCTTCAAACGCACAAAAGAACACATACTGGAGAGAAACCCTATGAATGTAACCAGTGTGGTAAAGCCTTTGCTCAACATTGTAATCTTCAAACGCACAAAAAAACACATACTGGAGAGAAACCCTATGAATGCAGTCAGTGTGGAAAGGCCTTTGCATGTCAAAGTAATCTTCAAATACATAAAAGAACACATACTGGAGACAAACCACATTAAGGTAATCAGTATAGTAAAGCTTTTGCGTTTATAAGGAGTCTTTGAAATCATTACAAAAAATCATTCTTCACTGAAACTATAAATGTAGTCAGTTTGGTTCAATTTTGCACTTTATATAGGAATAAAGCTTTGTGGGCAATCAATCTTAATGCCTTTGCATGTTAGTCACTTTTAAGTACCTGAAAAAGATAATGAGGCCTTCTCATTATCAAGTATTTGGTGGCATCTTTAGCCATCATACTTCCAATCAGTAACACAACAGTATTTATTTTGTAGAAGAAAATCGACAGTGTCAACAGTCTCTGTAAGCATTATGATGTCCATTTTTATATTGTTGCTCCAGCAAATTCATGGAAAAGTGAATTTATAAATTTATGAAGCCATATGTGTAGTGTAAATGGGACAGCCAAAGAAACAACTCTGATCCCAAAACCAGAGCCAGTGAAAGAAACACACTTTGACCTTGAAACTGGAGCCAAAGTAACACACCGTGAAATAATAGCCAAATAGTTAAAAAGGGTCAGTGAAAGAAGCACACTTAGGCCCTGAAGCCAAAGACAAAGAAACAAATTCTATCCCTGAACAACTGAGGAAAAATCCAACCGATACCTGAATTCGAAACCAACCAGTCCCCAAACAGGAATCCAGCCAATCTCAAAGGATTTTAAATCTCATGGATTGAAATTTTATGAATTAACATGCAGAAAAATATTCTCTGTGAAAAACCTATGCCCCTAAGAAGACATATGTAAATCCTGTGTTTGTTCAGTGTGTATCTGGTATTTTCCACACTGGTAGTAGCCACCACTTTCCTGGATTCGTCCCTCCCAAATAAATCTGTTCAATGAGTCTCACTGAAAATCTTTTGCCAGAGTGGATAAAAAACTCCCCAGTAGAATGGAGAAAAGAAGCAACATACACCCCTGCTTGGAGATTCTCTTAGAAGAGCTGAGCAAAAGAAAAATCTTTTCACTCTAATTGTAACAAACTGCTACATTTCTGGACCAGTTTCCCCATAGGTGAATGAAGCTGAGAAGTGACAATGTGGTCTGGAGCTAAGAATAAATGGATAAGTTTCATTGCTTGGAAACCCCCTAGTGGAGAAAGGATGAGAAGCAATGGACACTTCTGCTTGTAAACTCTCTTAGCAGAGTGGAACAAAGCTTAGTTGTAATGGTCTCTCTCTGAGAGAAACAAAAGTGCTACTACAGCCTGACTTACTGACAGTCAGAAACCCACAGCTGTGGGTTTCCAGGATACCTTCCCTTTACAACAGCATGTGTAGACTGATATTGGACACTCAGGGTAGATTTTTCTTCAGAGCCCTGGCATCTAGGATACATTCCCTCCAAAAGGAATAACATGACTTCCCAACAGTTATGATACCTTTCTCTTCAGAGCTGCAGGCATCCAGGACATCTTCCCTTAACAGCTGTAGGTATAGCCTGACTTCTGACAGTTGAGATACCTTTCCCTCCATAGCTGTAACACTTGCATGAAGATTTTAAATGATGATGAAACCCTTTAAGATTTATGCTTAGTAGAAAGGTTGAGTCAGGGGAAGAATAGAAGAAAGGATATGTGATAGGTAGGGTTTTAGTTGGGGGTGGTCGTTGTAGGGGAGGATGGGAGGAAGAAGGGAACCGGGATTGTCATGTAAAACAATCTTGTTTCTGTTTTAAATAAAAACTGAAAAAGAAGATTTATGCTTAGTGTATGAAATCATTCATGTGTAAAACATTATGGATTTATATTATTTTCTCTTCTGTTTTCATTATAATATCTATGTAAAAGACTTTAACATCTTGGTTCCAGTGGGATTTAGGATTATCGTGAAAGTGGCATGGCAGCTAAAGCAGTGGTCTAAGAATTAACATCCTTAAGCTGCAGCAGAGAGTAGGAACTGATGTTGGAGATCATTGCATTGTGGTTTCTCTTTTGAAACATTTGAGATACATACCAACGTGTTCTTTATATGTGAAATAAATCCATTTAGTGATATTTATTTTGTTGTTCTTATATTCCTTTTGTGGCTTTGTTCATTTTGTACTTTTAGTTAGTGATAGGTATTTTTTCTGATGTACTGTATAGAATGTGACTCCCATCATCTAAGTGGTACATTGTTTGTTTTTTATTTTATTCTTTTGGGGATTTTCGAGACAGGGTTTCTCTGTGGCTTTGGAGGCTGGCCTGGAACTAGTTCTTGCAGACTAGGCTGGTCTTGAACTCACAGAGATATGCCTTTGCCTGCCAAGTGCTGTGATTAAAGTGCTGTACCACCACCACACAGCTGACCTGGTTTTCTTTTTCATATTTTCATAAATAATACCCTTCAGATTTTCTTGTTTATTATAAAGCCTGACATACATATCAGTAATGATGATGGATACATTTGAAGTCATGATCCTCGTGTGTCTGCCTCCTGAGTACCAGTCCAAGTGTAGATGATATACACCCTGTATGTGTTGTTTCCTCAATATAATTTAGTAATATTAATGCTAAACTGCTTAATAGAAGACAATATAAGAAACATTAAATAACTCATGTGTGTATTCAAAAAACGGTTTTCTTTTATCTGGTTGAGATGTTTGTTATGGGAAACGAAGCCAGTCCCAGTGGATGAGCAGCCAGTGTTCTAAGTGGTGAGCCTTAAATTCATCTACATGAATATGTCATTAGAAGCAATAAGTGTGATTGGCTGATATAACTTCATCTTTGTCTCAGCCCTGATACCTCAGAATAAGTATATGCTTGATTGCATCAGAAACTAACTTGGACTTTTTGCTTATGGAATTTTTCCACGCCCAAATCTCCAGAAAATGAGGGATAAGTACAAAATAAATGATCAGGAGAGTAGCTTAGAATAAAAGCCTTTAGAAGATGGTTGACTAACCAAAACCACAAGAGTGTGTTTGTCTCCCATATGGTAAATAGGCAACAATGGGAGCCCAGAAGCTCATATGTGAGATGTACCTCTGCTTGAGTTTATACCTCCTGTGAGGAGAGAATAGGAACTTGCAAACATGACATCTGACTTGTTTGAAGGGGCTCACATTCTGCTTCCCTGATGCCTGCAAAACATTCAGTTTGGAGCTCTGAATGGTGGTGACTAGAGATGACATCCAGATTGTGAGGAGATCCTGAGACTTGATGTCACTCTAAGGCTTAGACTGTAAGTTTTTTTTTACAAAGAACTGTGGAGACTAGAAGAATTTGGGGGGGGGATTAGGGCTTGAAATGATCAAATGCCAGAGAGTTTCTTCAGTTGTAACTGAAGACAAGCTGCCATAAACTGTACTCTCTTTCTACTCAGCTGTATATGTGTAGGGGTCAGGCCCCTGCAGTTCTTCCACTACTTAATTATTGGGAACTCACATAGATGTTATTTATGGTACCCTGCAGCCCCCACTATGCAGTCCCCCTGGGACCTTAAGGATCCTCAGTCTCTACCACAGAAATCCCTGTTACCTGCCTGACTCACAGGAATAAGGGTGTTCTAAGTGACATTTATATCTCTCCCTTTGACTAATATCTAGTAAAACAGTAGACAACATTAAATTCTAATTTCTCTAGCAATTTCATTGTGGATAAAGACTGAATCCTCCAGATGAGACTCTCTCTATTGAACAACATCCATGCCTTTTCTGACCGTCTGCAGGAGAGACAGGAGCTGAGGTTGGGTGAAGCTTTTAGACATGGAAAAACTTTCAATATATGACTTAGTTGTATTACTTAGCTGTGCATATCTCTTGCCTTCTATTCAAACTTGTTAAGACCCTAGGATGGATTAATTAAATTACTTCTTCATCATTGTTCCAAATCCTATCAGGCAGGAATCATCTCCCTATTTTTCTATTCAAAAGAGCATGTTCAATCCTGAAACCATAATACACAACCAACAAAAATGGACTCAGCAGACTTTGTTCAAATATTTGTGCATACTAAACACAAATAAGAAGCTATTTAAATGAAAAGCTATTCATTTAAGAACATCACATTGTGCATAGGTGTGTTTCCAATTTTTTGAATTTGTGTTTTATGTATGGAGATTGTGGTACTGCATATATTTTAAATGTATCTTTTACATTTTTGTAATTTATCTCTTCATATATTATGATATTTTTAATTTTTAATTTTAGTTAGAAAGAAAATTATTTTACATGTCAATCCCAGGTCCCTTTCCCACCCCTCCTCCCCTGCCACTCCAACTAGCAGCCTACCTATCCCAAACCCTTTCTGCTTCCAAGGCAGGGTGAGGCCTTAGAGAGGGTCTTCAAAGTCTGCCTTATTCTTTGGGATAGGGCCTAGGCCAACCCCTTTTGTGTCTAGGCTCGGGGGATGTCCCTCCATGTGGGATGGACTCCCAAAGCCCATTCCTATGCTAGGGATAAGTACTGATCCACTACAAGAGGCCCCATAGATTTCCAAGGTCTCCTCACTGACACCCACATTCAGGTGGTCTGGATCAGTACCATGCTGGTTTCCCAGATATCAGTCTGGGGACCAAGAGTTCTCCCCTGTTCAGGTCAGCTGTTTCTGTGGATTTCACCAGCCTGGTATGGACCCCTTCTGTGATCAGTCCTCCTTCTCTGCAACTGGATTACTGCTCCGTTCAAGGTTTAGCTGTGAGAGTCTGCTTCTACTTCTACCAGCTAATGGATGAAGGCTATACGATGTCAGATGAATTAGTCATCAATCTCATTATCAGGGGAGGGCATTTAAGGTAGCCTCTCCTCTGCTGCTTAGATTGTTAGTGGTTATCATCTTTGTAGCCCTCCAGACATTTCCCTAGTGCCTGATTTCTCTTTAAACCTAAAATGTCTCTCTCTATTATATTATCTCTTATCTTGTTCTCTTCTGTTCTTCTCTCAACTCAACCTCCCTGCCCCTTCATGTCTTCCTCACCCCTCCTCTATCCCCTTCTCATTCTCCTAGTTCCTTCTCCCCTCCCTCACCATGCTCCCAATTTGCTCAGGAGATCTCGTCCCTTTCTGCTTCTCCAGGGGACCATGTATGTCTCACTTAGGATCATCCTTGTTTACTAGCATCTCTGGCAGTGTGGATTGTAGACTGATAATCCTTTACACCATGTCTAAAATCCACATATGAGTGAGTACATACCACATTTTCTCTATCCATTCTTCAGTTGAGGGGCATCTAGGTTGCTTCCAGGTTCTGCCTATTAAAAACAACACTGCTATGAACATAGTTGAACATGTGTCCTTGTTGTATTAATGTGCATTCTTGGGTATATGCCGAAGAGAAGAATTGCTGGCTCTTGAGGTAGACTGATTCCCATTTTCCTGAGAAACCACCATACATTTCCAAAGTAGTCTTACAAGTTTACACTCCACGAACAATGGAGGATTTCACACTCTAGATTCTGTTCAGATCATTGAAATCGTTCGCCTTTTACCTAATTTTGCATTCTGAGACCTGTTTGTACCCACCAGAAGGGAACCTTGGTCCAGTACCCACCAGGAGAGTTAAGAGACTCCTTCTACACCCACCAGGAGAAGAGATGGGAAGAAGGCAATATAAAAACACATTCAACAACAGAAAAACCAATATGACAGACTCTGAAGAACCCTATGGAAGGCCTTACCCTCTCTGGGGAGCAGAAAGGGCATGGAATAGGTTGGGTGTTAGTTGGGGGTCAGGGGAGGAGGGAAGGCATAGGGATCTGGGATTGACATGTAAAACAATCTTGTTTGTAATTCAAATTAAAAATGGAGAAAAAACCCACAAAACTGTAAGTCAAAGCTGGGCGTTGGTGGTGCACACCTTTAATCCCAGCACTCGGGAGGCACAGGCAGGCAGATCTCTGTGAGTTTGAAGACAGCCTGGTCTACAGAGCAAATTCCAGGACATGTCTAAATACAGAGAAAACCTGTCTCGAAAAAAAAAAAACAAATAAAAAAACAAACAGAAAAACAAAACTAAACAAACAAAAAAAATGGAAGTCAAGATCACTGAAATGGAAGATGTCTTGGTGACCTGGCTAGATGCTGACACTAAAACAAATCACAGGAATAAGACATTTATTTGTAGAGTTCAAGTAAATATGTTCAAGGAACAACATTTTTAAATAAAAGTAGTAAAAAGTAGTGACCATTACGCATTCTACTTACACTACATGTTTTGAAGTACTGTTTGAGAAGTAAATGTAAGAGAAAATACCATTATCTGCAGTCAACACAGGTTCATTATTAGAAACATAAACCAGCATAATGGTAGTCCAAAACATTACCTTGGAGACAATTCACTGAGAGGCAGGCGTATTTTAGCACTTTCAATTCCACAGGCTTAACTTCTCTATAATTCATGAACTGGATTTGAAAGCAGGTTTTTTTTTATTTTAAAATAACATTAACAGCCATTATAACTTCATTGTTATTGAGGTAATCAATTCATTTCATAGAGGCTGGCATTAATTTAGATAACATGAGTCATTGCTTAAATTTTATTATTGACTATACAAATGAAAACAGTCCAAACATTACACATTATGTGTATATATGGTCTCTTGCACTGTGGGGGACCAAAACATTTCCACTATGGAATATTTTGAGATCCAGCCTTGGGTTTCACTAAACAGGAACACCGAAAGCTCTGGTCCACTATTGTATTGTTAGTGCCAGTAAGGCTACTATTGTTTACCATGGCCTCAGGGTAATATGCCTCCTATTTGCATCTCTGTGGGCCAAGGTGCAAGGTGTGTGAGTGACTAGGGAGGACAAGAGTTAGGGGCTAGTGACCAGAGGAGAGAGGAGAACTAAGAGAGAAACGGTTCTCTCATGGTATTGGCAGGATGGTTAAAAAACAGCAGAAAAGATGACTAATAAAGAAATGACTCTAGTTCTACAACATGGAACTGAGAGCTCTCTAAAGATGACAAGATGCCTGTGTTTGGTCTTTATCGCTGCAAGGTTGCTAGGAGCTTCCAGGTCCACACACCCCCACTCAGGCCGAACCTCATGGATTAAGGCTGAGACACGCTGGGTT